ACACAAATGTTGCACATGCGCAACGCAACGACCACCGCCCCTTAACTGCAGCCATTGTTCAGAAAGTTGGAATATTGGAATATAGCATGGCATCTTGTTATATTCATCAACGGTCAGTTGGTGACAAAGTATTCGCGAAGTCATAAAATTCACCGACTGCTAGCTATTGACTTGCTATGTATTATCAATACCAGCTTATGCGTGTCTATTATGGGTTGGCTGTTCGTTCGTTCATTATTGTTCAAGTATCACACCCGCAACCAGAGGTAAACGAATTGTAAAATTGTCAAATAACAATTCAAGGTCAATGCGATTCAGAACTAAAAAATGCAAATGAAAATCAAAATTCAATCAAATTCAAAATCACAATGCAAGTGAAATTTAAATAGAAATCAAACTCTTCTTCATTTACGTATCTCACCCTGCCTGCATTGACACATATGGACAGCTGACAATCACGATAGATTTCAAATCAAAGTAAAGGTGTTGCAGATCCTATCATGCATTGTGCTATGGTGTGGTACGTGGTCTCAGGTAGCAATAACATAAATCACTTCTACAGAGTCAAGTAAAATTCATTCGTGATTGACAGTATCAATGCTTTAAAACGTTGTCATTTAGTAATTAGTGAAGAAGTATTGGAAAAGTATTTTTGTTCGCATTAAAACGTGGTTATTGTTACGGTGCATTAAAACGTGTTTATTGTTACGGTGCATTAAAACGTGGTTATTGTTATGGTGCATTAAAACGTGGTTATTGTTACGGTGCATTAAAACGTGGTTATTGTTACGGTACATTAAAACGTGGTTATTGTTACGGTGCATTAAAACGTGGTTATTGTTACGGTGCATTAAAACGTGGTTATTGTTACGGTGCATTAAAACGTGGTTATTGTTACGGTACATTAAAACGTGGTTATTGTTACGGTGCATTAAAACGTGGTTATTACGGTGCAGGTGATGATGTATAGAGTAGTTAATGTAATTTTGCTGCAATATTAAATGTATGTTAAAACTAATATCGCAATATGTATAATCTCTGTAATATTTCCATATATATCCCTAGAATTTCCTCTTTTTTTTAACCTTTCTTTAATTTGAATAATGACCAACCCCCTTAACATTCACACCATTAATATTACAGCTTTTAATCATATATATTGAATGGGTTGGTTATTCACATCCCCATATGGTATAGTTTTGATCCCCATTTCCATCATGCATAGAAGTGTGCTATTTTAAATATATGGAGAATAATTAGAACTGTCATGTGAATTAGAGTTGCCATGTGAATAAGACATTGTTCAAGGTGAACATAAATGGAACATTGACATTGCGTGTTCTATTGCTAGACGTGACCATGGATTTTCAGCTTTCCAGAACACAACAAACTGTCAACATGATTCAGGCTGGTTTGTGATAATAGAAAATGTATTAGATATTTGTGATTGGGAAAACCGGACAGTCAATAGACCAACTATTCTGTATAGTACAAGAGACACGGCTTCGAATTGGAACAGCATGACAGGTAAAACATCACTAAGAAAATGTGGATTTTTGTGTTACTTGAAATGGTGAATGTGCAGATACAGATAACGGTTTTATTTGTTCCCATTGTATTTTTCAGATACTACATTTGCAGACGCCATGACTATATCTGTGTTCTATTAATACAGTGTTTGTCATCAGTCAATTTCCAGAGAACCATGGAAAGGATACATGTTATTAGGCAAATAAAACTATTTGATGTGATGCATATTATTAGTTGAATTCATAATTGTCTTTTTCTTGGTATCTACTGATATATTACATGCCAGGCGGGATTAAATACAAATTTGTTTGTGTAAAACATGTCACTTAGGTATACAATCACATCTTATGTCAATACAGTGAACAAATTATATATAAATTGCATTCATAACACAGGTTAAAATGCAGAAAATACTGATACTGTTGTGACAGTTGATCTATATTATTTTTCTAATTCGAAAGCAACAACGCAAATTTGCATTTCAAATACAGAACTAGCTTTTCACATATAGCCAAGTTAGCATGCTATTCGCTGATATCTGAACAGCATATGTAAATAGGTAAACAGGTAAACAAACTAATTGGCATCCACTCTTTGGATATGCGAAGCATCGCTCATTCCTGAAGATAACATTTTTACTTCCAAAGCCCACAATTGTTTTCGGCTTCTGCATATAGGAACAAATGGGATTTGTGAGGCAAACGACAAAGATAATAATAGACGAAACAAGTACTTAATAACTTTGAATGATCTATAACTGCAGATTGTAACTCTTCAAGGTTCTCCTCTGGTAGTCAAATTGGATGCAGTGTTTATGTAACTTTAGTATGAATCGCCAAAATCTGCTTTGAACAATTTCAGTTTTTCACCATATAAAATCCACAAATGTCGCTACCTATAATATTAGACATTCACATTCAACATTGGTAACCATAGTTTCCATTGCATCCGATTGAACCACAACCCTACTTGCCAAAAGATCCAGTTTTCCACTTCGAATACCAACTACTCTATAAGGACTGATTTGTTTCCAAATTTGTCATTCATAAGTGATCTAGCCCTCAGTGCAGACAAATATTACATTTAATATGTTGTTATTGCTTGATCAACAGGCAAAGCGTTGTATCACTGATCTGGGAGGTATTGTGTTAAAGAATCATTTTGTGACAAATAAATTATGTTCGCGGTACTACTTTTAGATGTGCACCAATCAATAAGTTCCGGGGAGGTTTTTGTTAACCATTTATTGAAACTATATGACAGGGGCGGATACAGGATTTTTTTTATGGGGGGGGGGGTCCAAACTTTAAAATCACCAGACTAAGTTTTTTTATATTATACAAAAACAAATTGATCCGGCACTGTATGAGCTTACTGAAGTATATCCAACTGACAACAAACAACCTTTCCATCCACTGACATGACATAGTACGTAACCATTTACCACAGTAGATTCCTGGTTTATTTAACCTGCGTGATGGCATATATGGCCAAAAGTGTTATCCCCTAATCCAGGTGTTTTTTTAGTCTTTAGTCTTAGTCTTTAATTATGATAACAAAGCCATAACCTCTTTGGTCCACGGCAAACACGCCAAAGTATAAATGACTTCATCCGAGAATCAGTGTCAGGAGATTTCAAATAATTAGTACACTAATAATGGCTCGACGTGCTCCTCCACATATAGTATTATATAGAACTGGCTATTCGTACAATCCGTCTTCATTAGTTTCCAGTGTACATTAATCTTGCGACTTTCTCGTCTTTGTCGCCATCATGCATTTGGTCATTGCCTCGGTTTAATCTTTACAGAATAACTAGGTTCTGACCGCTGTAGTAAACCATTTTGTATACAAGTTTTGTATAAGCTCATTGTCTGCCAATAATACTTTTAAATGTTACGACAAATCATTTCGAAAATCGATGAAAATTGTTGTTTCATATAACAAAATTATTTTACTTACAGCGGTAGTTAAAGCTGAAATTAATTTCAAACAAGCAGCCTGTCGGCTGAGATAGCTCCGCTGTTAGCAATGCACATTTCAATTAAAGAACAGAAGATATCATTAGAAAATGAACAATATGTATAGTATCAAAGCAATGGGACTTGCTGTTTTCAACAAGGAGTCAAAAATATCACTTTTCACCAACAATGACAAAAATAATCATCAAAATTAAATAATTGAAAATATCACTACAAAATTAACAAATCTGAAATAGGTCCACATGTAGTACCTATATATGTAATATCAAAGCAATTGGACTTGCGGTTTTTAACAAGAAGTCGAAAATATCACTTTTTACCAAAAATGACAAAAATTATCACCAAAATTAGAGAATTAAAGATATCGCCACAAAATTAACAAATCTGAAAGAGGTCCACATGTAGTACCTATATATGTAATATCAAAGCAATTGGACTTGCGGTTTTTAACAAGAAGTGGAAAATATCACTTTTTACTAAAAATGACAAAAATATTCACCAAAATTAGAGAATTAAAGATATCATTACAAAATCAACAAATCTGAGAGAGGTCCACATATAGTACCTATATATGTAATATCAAAGCAATTGGACTTGCAGTTTTTAACAAGAAGTCAAAAATATCACTTTTTACCAAAAATGACAAAAATATTGACCAAAATTAGAGAATTAAAGATATCAACATGAAATGAACAAACCTAAGAGAGGTCTACTCAAGGTACATATACACCAAGTATCAAAGCATTCAGGCTAGTAGTTTTCAAGAAGAAGTCGAAAAAGTAAAACATTGACACGGACGACGACGGACAATCACTCATATGATAAGCTCTGCTCGACAAAGTCGACAGCGGAGCTAAAAATTAATTATCTATATTCTTCTCAGTTGGAGTAATGGTACAAGTAATTAATGAGTTTTCAATTATAATGTGTTAATTATTATATTCACACACCAAACATCACATATACAAGACTTGGACACTCCTCTTACTATCAGTAAATTATAGTGCCATCGCAAGTATGATTTGAATATGCCTAAAAGAAGGTCACATGTGTTTATGCTTTGTGTTCATGTGCAGTGACAACAAATAATTGCTATTAAATGTATACATCGGTGATCAGGAATTTGATAGTATTTTTTTTAAATGTCCTAAATTTATTTCAATCATTTCAAAAAAACACCTAGATGTTTTCTCTCAAATTTAGTCTTTTATGGTAAATAATTAGAAATGATGTTAGTTTCCATTTTAGACGAAATGTTCTAAGCTGATTTTAAGACAACTAAATTCTTGTACACATACATGTCCCAAGTTAATAAAACAATGTTGTCACAACAGAAAATAAGTGAGCGATGATCAATGAGCAGCATTAGTCGTGAACTAATTAACTAATTAGTCGTGGTGGCAATAGACTGTCAGCAACTGTAGTACTTCATAGAAATGTCCTGACCAGCTGTTGTACATAAGGCATACCATGAGGACACAATTTTAGGTTTGGTTCTGTGATGTAGTCTAAACGTACTGTCATATCATAATTATGTTGTTAACTAAATTCCCTTTATTATTACACTTGAGTGAACAACTCAGGGCATACATTTAAAATAAATTACTAGAAAACTAAATAATGTTAAAAACAATATTTCAAAAAAATAAATGTGATTCCCCTATAACACCAGTTTGTAACAATATAAGCATTGTAAATGTGGATAAGACAGTAATACCAAGTAAATAGGATGGCTTCACAGGAATATGGAATAACTTGGCCTGAAAAAGAAGAATAACAAATAATTGAAAATGACAAGTCCTTGTTGGTATTTTTTCAAAGTAATCTTTTATAAGTTAAACACCAGACATCTGAAAGAAAAGTACCAACTACTTGTGGAAGCAATTTCTTGCAATTGCAGAAGGAAGCAATGGTCTTAATATATCATCTGAAGTTATTGTGGTTTCTACAATGATAGTCAGTATAGTAGTAAATAATTATCCTATGGCCTGAATTTGATAAAACTTACTGAGAATTTAGTTGATGACAAGAATAAAAGAAATGAATCCAGGTCTTCCACAGTACAATTTTGATAACCAAATACTCTGACTTCGAGGGCAGCATGCTTAAATCGCTCACAATGAGAATTCAGTCTTGCTGCCTGTAAACAAATAAATTAAGATATGACACATTTTTTTATATTTCATAAAATATATAATGAATGGTTCTGATAATTTGGACACATCTTGTTCAGCAAAGTTCATTTTCACATCACACAAAATTGCATACCTCACACATAAGCCAGTCAACCAGTTTGAATCAAATCACAAAACTCATCATGTGTAATGTTTATACCAAATTCAAATTGGCTCAGGCAATTGCCTGAGAAACCGTTTGCATGTTTTTGGGGAAAAAATAGCCATTAGTCTGTTTATGATGAGCTAGAAGTAATAAACTATACACCCTCTGATCATAGGTCATAGGTCAATCCTCCAGTAAATTATGCCCATACAATAATACTAACCTGTATTAAAGGAAATAATAAGTAAACAATCCAAACCAGAACAAAAAATCCTCTATATAGCCATACTAATGTCTCAGTAAATTTGTTGAGAATAAGTAAACACAGACCTGAAATAAAAATACAATTTACCACCAGCAAGTCATAATGTATTAGATTGCTAAATGAATGCACAGACATTTATATCATATATGTAATGTAATCGTAATATGTATAATAATCTTATTTAATTTATCCATTCATGGCTGACATATTATTCTAAAATGCTAAACTTTGATGCAATTTCTGCACTTAAATGGCTGATATTCAGCAATCTGTAATTCAATCTCAAAATGAATACATGTGCATATGAGTGAAATGATATGTGATGTACTTTTGTCTAAACATGATTAGGACAATTATATAAGGTATAGACAGATATACAGATATATTGTACGCACAGGTGAATCGAATCTACAAGTCTCTATTTTTGTTTTAACATTGACTAATTTGGAACATACCAATGACAGTGAGTTCAGCAAAGTTTACAACACATAATGAGGTCATTCTAGCAATTGGACCATTCAATCTTGATATTGACTGTCTTACTCTCAATATATCCTGTGATAGAGAAAATAAATTAATACATTTTTTTGAATTTTTTGATGTCATTTTGTAATGTTGCTGTATTTTCTTTTACTAAAATTATTTCATTCCAGAAACTCCAAACTCTAAGCACTATTTTATACAAAGGAATCTTGTGAACTCCATACTTTATGAAACAGAACTCGGTAAATAACACTTTGCAACTATTATTTCACCAAGAAACATAGAAAGGACTTCCTCAAATATAAAAAAGATAGTCATGTTCACGGTAAGTCAAACTCATGCATGAAGCTTTGGATGCAATGCTGTACTGTGCTGCTCTATATACAATGTAACCCAGTACACACCCAGAAAATTT